GATCTCCTCAACTGTCACTGCAGCACTCTGAACAAAATCCGGACCCGTAATCCTCCTCTCTCCAACCTCATCCCAATACAAAGGAGTCCGGACCCTACGTCCATACAAAGCCTCGTACGGGACCATCTTGATTGAAGAGTGGTAGCTGTTGCTGTAGGTCAGCTCGACTAGCGGAAGGGCATACTCCCAAGTCAGGCTTCGGTCCAAGACCACAACCCTCAAAATGTCCTCCAAGTACTGGATCACACGCTCTGACTGACCATCTGTCTGGGGGTGAAAGGCTGTACTGAACTCCAACCTCGTCCCCATGGCTCGGTGCAACGTCCTCCAGAACTGGCCCGTGAACTTTGGATCCCGATCGGACACAATCTCCACGGGCACCCCATGAAGCTTTACAAATCCTTGACGAACAATTCGGCATAATCACTCGCCTTCATGGTCGTCTGAACTGGCAGAAAGTGAGCAGACTTCGTGAGTCGATCCACGATTACCCAAATAGAATCATACCCGGACCTCGATCTAGACAATCCCACCAAGAAGTCCATGGTAATGCACTCCCACTTCTACATGGGAACCTCAAGGGGCTTCAACAACCCTCTCGGTTTCTGGTTCTCAGCCTTCATTTGCTGACACACCAGGCACCCATCAACGAACCTTGCCACTTGCCTCTTCATGCCTTGCCACCAGAAAGACTTCCTCAAGTCCTGATACATTTTCGTGCTACCAGGATGGACGGTGTACGGGGCACTATGGGCCTCTCTCAGAATCTCCTTTCGCAGCTCCCAAACCTTCGGAACACAAAGTCTACCCTCGAAGAGTAAAGCACCGTCGGTTGCAACTGCGAATCCACCAATCTGACCACTAAACGCCAAATCTTTCATCCGACACTGAAAATGGTCATTCGGCTGCTCAGCGACTATCCTCTGACGAAGAGTCGGTCCCAAAACCAAGGCGGTCAACATACCCCCGGCTGCCGAAGTCGACTCCACTGCCTCTAGCTGTAGCCGCTCGAACTCCCGAAGCAGAACATCTTGTCCAGTGAATAGGCAAGACAGCTGGCCATAACTCCTTCGACTTAGGGCATCGGCAACCACGTTAGCTTTCCCAAGATGGTAGCTAATCATGCAGTCATAGTCCTTGACCAGCTCCAACCACCTACGCTGTCGCATGTTCAGCTCCTTCTGAGTGATAATGTACTTCAGGCTCTTGTGGTCGGTAAAAATCTCACACTTGCCTCCATATAGGTAGTGCCGTCAAATCTTCAAGGCGTGAACGACTGCAGCTAACTCAAGATCATGAGTGGGGTAGTTCTGGTCGTGAGGCTTCAGCTGCCTCGAAGCATAGGCTACGACTCTCCCTTGCTGCATGAGAACACAACCCAAGCCCATCTTCGAAGCATCACTATAGATTGTGAACTCCAAAGTAGGATCGGGTATGGATAGGACGGGCGCGGTAGTGAGTCTACTCTTCAACTCCTGGAAACTCTTCTCACACTTCTTACACCAATCAAACCTCACGGCCTTCTTCGTAAGGTTGGTTAGTGGTTGGGCAATCTTCGAGAAGCCCTCGATAAACCTCCGGTAGTATCCTGCTAACCCCAGAAAACTACGAACATCAGCGGCACTTCTTGGCGTATCCCACTTGCTCACCGCCTCGATCTTGCTGGGATCCATCTCAATGCCTCTCGCCGTCACAATGTGGCCAAGGAACGCCACACGGTCTAACTAGAACTCGCATTTTGAAAATTTTGCATACAACTTCTCACGGCGAAGGGTTTCCAACACAATCCTCAGACGCTCCTTGTGCTGGTCGATGTCTCGAGAATAGACTAGGATGTCGTCGATAAACACAATGACAAACTGGTCTAAGAAAGGATGAAATACCATGTTTATAAGGTCCATTAAAACTGTTGGGGCATTGCTGAGTCTAAACAGCATAACCACGAACTCATAATGGCCATAGCGGGTACGGAAAGCAGTCTTAGAAATATCTGACTCCCAGATCTTCAGCTGAAGATAGCCAGACCGTAAATCGACCTTTGAGAAGACGCTGGCTCCTCTCAGTTGGTCGAAGAGATCCTCAATACGAGGAAGGGGGTACTTGTTCTTGACTGTAAGGGTATTCAGCTCCCGGTAGTCAATACACATACGCATGGATCCATCTTTCTTCTTCACGAATAGGACAGGTGCACCCCACGGCGAAACACTCGGTCGAATAAAATCGAGTCTGAGCAATTCTTGGATCTGGGCCTTAAGCTCTTGAAGCTCTTTCGGTGCCATTAGGTAAGCGGCCTTAGACACGGGGCCAACTCCCGGTACTAAGTCAATGGTGAACTCCACCTGGCGGTCGGGTGGTCCTCTGGGCAGCTCATCGGGAAAAACATCAAGGAATTCTCAAACAATAGAAACTCGCTCCAAAGTCTACTCGGAATCATCCTCGGACACCATAGAAACAAGATAGCCTTGGCAG